TTTTAATAGAATGTGGAATTTTATGTATGGAAAATACTTCCATTAATATACAATTCAAGCACAGAAAAACAGATCTTAAGCTTCAATTGAACTTGCATACAAGGTCAAAATTTCCTAATCTACAAGGAGCCGGTAGACTCTGTCTGGTCTTTTAAACTGTAATTGACTTTCCTTACCTGAAAACGAACAAGGAGAAAAATCAGGATATCATCTCATCTCTTTCCAGTAAATCACACTCTCCATTAATTAATTCTACCAAAATAATAATAAAAGAATAGTAACTATTCACGTTACCTCTTAAAAATTAAAAAAAAAATCATCTCAAAATTACGTCGTTTCAATAAATCTCTATTAATAAAACTAAAATATTATATTTTTAAAGTATGATTAAAGTGTTTTTTATCTTTTTATATAATATTTTATTAAAATTATGTAATTTTAAAATAATTTTTTTCTTAATTTTTAAAAAGTAAAATGAATAAGTATTAATTCCTAATAATAATAATGATAATAATAATAATAAGACTCTCCATTAATTTCTGCCCATCTAGCTAGGGCAACGTATGCTTCCCACCACCTTCTGCTTAATGTAGAGAAAGAAACCGATATTGAAACTGTCAATCATCATGTCTTTGTCCAAGGGCATCATCAACCCACCTCCCCTTCCTTGGAGCCTTTTGCAGCTGCTATAGTTCACCTGTGTGCACGCATCATGCGTTATAGCCAGCTCCCAACCTTACTTGGCCTCCCCCAACCACCTTGAACGATCTTCCTGATATAGCACAGCACCGAAAGGGAGAAAAAGAAAGAGAGAGAGCTTTCTTTATTGCCTCCAAACACCTACCACCCCTTTTCAGTAATAATATTCATAGGCCCCGCCTGCTCCAATCCCTGTTGCCCCCAACTCGAGACAAAGGCTCGCGTATAGATCTACCTATCAAATTATATATATATATATATATATATTTTATATTAATCATTCAATATGTAATAATTATATTAAATTTTAATTCATTTAAAATTAAATCGTATCGAATTTTATTAAGAAAGTTCTCCCAACATTTGTTTCTTCATTTATAAGATTTGAATTCGAGATTTTATTTAAAAAAATTAAACTCATTTTACTTAAACTAGCATGTCATTCAATAACAAATTATTGAAGTACCCTTTTTGTTTTTTTGGTAAATTTGTGTACCATATAAGTTATAAACACAAATGATGATACATCATGTATGGATGGATCATGGATGACATATAACCATATATATATATTGCTTCTCCTAGCCCTTCATAGGCCTTCACATGCGGCATGTGGAAGAATGCACCATACGAAACATTAATTAATCAATTCTCAAACCACACCCCTCTCCCCCCACCCCCAATCCCTTTCTTAATTTTCAATCATTATGAAATTATTGAGTTTCACATTCAAACGGTGAAAACACAAATAACGAATTGATTTCACACAAACTTCTTTGAATATTGACCTTCTTCTGGTTTGAAATTTTGTGGCCTTGTTTTTTTCAACGTTTTCGCTCCAAGCCATGTACAGGAGATTTCATGGTAGTTTATTTATGAAAAAAGTGGGATTAAAAGTAAAACTATTGACTTAATGGATCAATGTAGCTGTCCTTATCATTAACCAGAAAAATTGATTTCCCCATCAAAATACTGTGGTGAAATTAACTTTAACATCGTGGATAGAAAAGAAATAAAAAATATACACCAATTTTTAGTATATGTGATCTGTCATTATTTTAGTAGTGGGGAATCTTCTCTTCCCTTATCTTAAAATTTAACTTTGTAATTTACTTAGAGTTTTAAATTTTAATTGCTTAAAATATTTTTTAACTAAAAAATATATTATATATTTTTATATTGAGATACACACAACTTTCTTTTATTATTTTATTTCATTTCACTTATATATTATTAAATAACTTAAATTTAATATCTATTTTTTTAATATATTAATCCTTCAATATCTTAAAATTATATTTAGTTTGACTAATTAAAACTCTAA